TTAAAAACGAGCTGCGCCAGAGGAAAGTGACAATCCCTCATCCCATATCTGTAAGTTATTATGTCCATCCACACTCAACTTTTTTTCCTTCTTCTTTTTTAAACTGAACTGGAAATCACATTTCTTATGTATCTGTAGGCACAACATATTGATACACTAATAAAAAAGAAGACTACTGAAGCAGAAGCAATTCAGAAAGTGTCCCGACGAGTTTTCTCCGTCCGTGACAACTTTAGGGGACAGGCAGATGTTTTGGGAATGGTAACTTTCTTTTTTTCTTTTAAAGATTCAGTACTTGTTTTGAGATGAATTTTCTGGAGATGTGTTTATCCTCTAATTTTTGAATGCAGGTTGGCCACCTGGCTCTCGTGCAGGATGATGCCGCTGCGTGGGTCATCTCCTGGCACATCAGAGGTGATATGGACTGTGTCATCACCAAAACAACAAAAACAGCGCGGCGGATCTCTCATGACACGCAGGGCAGGCAGCAGGTCATGGCCCTCGACAGCGTGCTTGTGCCACCAGGAAAAAGGTACGTGGAAGATGTATTTTATTAGTGTTGGCGTCTAACTGACGTGTGATGAAGATGTATGTGTCCTTTTATTAAAGTCTTTCCTTTTTAAGCCCTTTCCTTCCCAAAGTCTCTCAAAAACAGTAATTTAGAGCTCTTGTGGCAGCTCCATTTTGAACAGGCTGCTTGAAAGTCAGCTAGAATAATATCGAACTATATCAATGTATGCTTTGAACCTTGGGAGTCTGGAAATACGTTTTTCTCCAAAATAGCCACATTTAGTGTACAGTGTAACACTCTGTAAACACAGGTGGTCTCTCACTTTAGTTTGCTATAAAAATAATGGTGACTGTAATTATTAGCACATATAAGGCTCCATCCTGCTGCTCTTTGTTGGGGCTGTTTGGACACTAATGAGATTTACTTAACGACCAGCTGCTGCAGGTTTTTGCCAGTTTTTGCAAAGCTAGTGATTTAAGGGCACATCCCTCTTTTATAAGACTTTTAGTTTTTAGAATCGTTTTTTCTAACATAGAGGGCTTTTATTTTGCATTCTGATTTGAATTTTATTGCAAAAAGTGTTGTTGTTTTTTTTTTTAATCTGATGACTGTTTCTGTTTGAGCTGTAGGTAAAAGTTTCTTTCGCTGTTAAAATCATTTTAATATAATGAAAATCTTTGTCTCTTAATGTGATGATAAAAGCCTTTGTTTGCTTTTGGAGACAAGGGGGAGGAAAAAAGCAAGCGGAACATGATTTAATTAAAATTTAATCATGTTCAGCTTGCTTTAAATTTTGATAGGACAGTGGCGGTATAATGTCCTTTGAAGTGGATATCAGGCCCTTGTAGAGCAAAATGTATTATTTTAGTTTAGGCAACCCAAAATGTGATGTCCACATATGTGGATGCGAGGTCCTAGGAGGTTCAATTTTATCTTTAGGCACTTTGTTACTAACAGCCTGTAACATGAAAACACATCTTCTTCTTTTTTTTCATTTCTTTTGCTGAATATATGGCAAATGCCAAAGATAACACAGTTGGACAGACAAAATGGTGTTTAATGGCGATTAACTAAAGCCTCATCAGAAATGGTCTCAGTAGACAGATGGCTGTCAAGAAGCCATTTTTTAAAGAAGGAAAACTGGGAGAAATGGCTGAGGTACGCCAAAGTTAGTTCCAATTGTTGTCAATATGTACAAGGAGGTCAGGAGAGGGATACAACAGTCAGTTTCTACGGACATCTGTAAAACATGGCCGAGGCTCTGTCGTAGTTTGGGGGTGCATTAGAGTCAGTTATGTTGGAGATCTTATCAAAATTGATGGGATTATAAACACTGAAAAGTACCATCAGATTTTAATCCACCATGCAATACCATCAGGAAAGCTTCTGATTGACACCAGCATGACAGTAAACACCAACACACTGTCAATGCAGCAAAAGAGCTTCCCCAGAGCCTGGGCATCAATATTATTTAAGCAGTCTGGGATCATCTTGATGGAGCACAGAACGAAAGGTAGCCAACATCCAAGGAAAAGCTTTGAATGTCCATCAAGAAGCCTGGAGAACTATTCATGAAGACTGCTTTAAACGGTCATACCAAAAATTGACTTACAACCTCGTTAGTATTGTACAGAATCAGCTGTTTGTCTTGTGTGCTGTATTTCCTTGTATGTTTCCACGTTTCAGTTAATCATGGCACCCATTTCCCATTGTTCAAGCAAAGGATGAAGAAATTAAGAGTTCCTCAAGGCTTCTTCACAGTGTTGTATTCAGGCACTGTATTCTTTTTCTCATTACTTTGTTTGGCATTTTTTTTTTCTTTTTCTTAAATGACATCAGAAACAGCAGTATGCGACATTACGTGATGGCAGAGCTTCAGTTCATCCTTTGTCATTTTTTTTTTTTTTTTAATAAATAGGACAGGGGGAATGAATGAGAGAAAGAGGGGGAGAGAGAGAAAGAAAACCAAAGGGGAGAAGAGACGGTGAGAAGGGGGG